TAGCTCTCTCAATGCTGTAAAAACGCTTTATCATGTAATTAAAACATTTAAATTTAAATGAAATAAAATAATTATATGAAATATAATGTTTAAGAAATTGAAAACTGTTCAGAATCAAATTATTAACCATGAAAGTATCTATCAGAAATTAAAATCTAAGCTGAAAATTAATATTTAGCTACATAAATACGATATTAAATGAATTTAGCTGTACATTGAAATAAATTTCGCTCAGGACTATTGTTCTTACATTTGTTTAAAGCACACGACCTGTTAGAATTTATAAATTACATAAAACTCTTATGAATGGTAAAATTATTAAGAGTACATTTAAACACAAATCACAACAATGAAACTTCTTAGAATATTAAGCTTGTTCACACATCACCTCGTAAGAGGAGGAACTTTTCGAAAATGATGCTACACTGGTTATCATAAATTAAGGAAAAATCACAAAAATAGCGATAACTCTTTCAAAAGTAAGCCAAACCGTGCAAAATTTGCATATGTTGTCCACTAAGAGTAGCTGAGTAAAATTGCAATATGCAAATTAGTGGCGCTGCACTCGGCTTACGTCATCTGCCTGGAGCATAAAAGTCCAAGTTTGAGAGAAAGCACACAAATTTTACTGTGATTGCGACATTGAAAATCTGAGATAGCCAATTCGTAATAATGACCTCTAGGCATCATTTGCCTGAAGAACTACGATGGAGAGCCATCGGGAGACTAGAGGCAGGGCAGAGTCAATCAGAAGTGGCCAGATGGCTAAATGTGAGTCCATCTGTGGTTCATAGACTTTGGAGGCAATTTCAAACCACAGATTCGGCATCTAGGAGGTTCAGTCAAGGACGGCCAACTGTTACGACCAGTGCCGATGACCGATATTTGACATTAAGTGCACGCAGGAATAGAACCGCTACTCCGACACATCTTAGATCCTCTCTTGCTGCAGCCACCGGAAGGTTGGTGTCAACGTCAACTGTGCGCAGAAGGCTCCACGAAGGTGGTCTGTATGCGAGACGACCAGCCATTTGCGTGCCGCTCACATCACGCCATAGGAGAGACCGTTTGCAGTGGGCCCGACAACATGTCCACTGGACGTCAGATCAATGGAGGCCTGTTCTCTTTACGGATGAGTCCAGGTTTAGTCTAGAAAGTGACAGTAGACGTTATTTGATATGGAGAGAACCTGGGACCCGTTATCATCCATCAAACATCCGTGAAAGAGATGCATACGGAAGAGGCAGTGTCTGTGTTTGGGGAGGCATATCCTTAGGAGGGCGCACATACCTCCATGTCTTTCCAAGGGGAACCGTGAATGCTCAGGTTTATCGAGACAACATCCTTGATGCTTATGTGCGCCCATATGCCGGGGCAATTGGTGATTGCTTCCTGTTACAGGACGATAATGCAAGACCACACAGAGCTCGCATTGTTGATGATTATCTTCAACAGGAAACAATTACTCGCATGGAGTGGCCAGCTCGATCCCCGGACTTGAATCCTATCGAGCACGTTTGGGATGCTCTAGGGAGGCGTGTATCTGCCATCAATCCGCCCCCTCAGACCCTTGCCACGCTTGCAACTGCTTTACAAGAGCAATGGCTCTCACTTCCTATTGAACTGATAGACCGCATAATTGAAAGCATCACACATCGCTGTTTGTGCTGTATTGCTTCTAGAGGCAATCATATTCCATATTAAAGGTACTTTTTCTATTGCAAACCGATACTTCCAATTTGTTTATTTTATACATGTGCTAATTTCTATACTACTATTAATGTCTGATAATTTCTTTTTATGTTGTTTAATACCTTACTATGTGTTGTATATTGTGGGTAAGTTTCATAAAATTCCATGTGTAATTGAAAGAGTTATCGCGATTTTTGTGAATTTTCCTTAATTTATGATAACCAGTGTATATCTACGACTATATCTACATAGTTTTAATTTGATAGTTCTTTTTCCATCGAACATATTTTTCACCCTTTTTTAAGAAAATTATTATAAAAAAATAATCTGTTGAACACTTCAAAAATAATATTTAGAAGTAAGAATAATATTTAATAGAATAATTAAGAGTAAGAATAATTTTTGAAGAATATATCTTCAAAAATAATGTTTAGAAGTAAGTTCCGTTTCTATTTCTATCCGCGGCAGCGCTGCGATTGCAGTTTCGAGCATGCGCGCCAGTTACTCTGCCTCAAGCAGAAGAAATGTGCGCCATTTTCAGATCGCTGCTGCCGATGTGTTCTTTGTAGTGCTTCTTTATGATGTCAGCCTTAACTGAAAATGCCGCCGCTTGTGAAATCAGATCTGTGATTCGTTTTCTAAATGCAAAGAAAGTTAAACCATGTGAAATTCATCGGCAAATCTGCGAGGTTTACGAACAAACTGCTTTGAGTGATTCAATGGTTTGAAGATGGGTCAGACAGTTTAATGAAGGACGTGATCAAGTTCACGATGTGGACGCCCGTCATTGGTTACTGATGAACTGGTTCATGCAGTTGAAGAGAAGCTTAAGCAAAACCGTAAGTTTACAATTAGCGCTCTCGTTACGGAATTTCGGCAAATCTCACGAACACTAATTCATGAAATTGTTACTAAAAAACTGAAATTTCAAGAACTTTGCTCACGTTGGGTACCCAAAATTCTTACTGAACAACACAAAACACAACGGATGGGCAGCGCACTTCAGTTTTTGACACGCTACAATGAACACGGGGATGATTTTCTTTCTCGGATAGTCACGGGGGATGAAACTTGGGTATCTTACTACACCCCAGAAATTAAACGGCAGTCAATGGAATTGTGGCGCACTTCGTCCCCAACGAAAATTAAGCCTAAGCAAATCTTGACACCTCGAAAACTCATGTGCACCGTTTTTTGGGACATAAAAGGCATTTTGCTGATTGATTTCTTACCACGAGACCAAACAATCAATGCACATGTTTACTGCGAGATCATTAAGAAATTGCGCCGCGCAATTAAGAACAAGCACCGAGGATTACTGTCTAAAGGTGTTTTTTTACACGATAATGCCCGGCCTCACACTGCAAACGTGACAAAAGAACTCCTACAGGAATTTGGCTGGGACGTGTTTGATCATCCTCCGTACAGCCCTGACCTCGCTCATAGCGACTTTCATCTCTTTTTACAACTAAAATCTTTCCTTGGTGGTCAACACTTCAACGATGATGATGAGCTGAAAGAACATGTTACCACATGGTTGAAAACACAGGCGGCAACCTTCTATGAAGAAGGCATACAAAAACTTGTGCCACGCTATGACAAGTGCCAACAAAATTTCGGAAGCTATGTAGAAAATTAGTTTTACAATTGTAGATTTTTGTTCAACAAATATTTTTTCTGTATCTGTACATGTTTTTTTATGTAACCAAACGGAACTTACTTTCTGGATATACCTCGTAAATACTGAATAAAAAATAGGCCTCTAATATCACAACATAAATAAATGATAGGGTTTGCCATGTTTTGAATGTTATCCCTTATTTTGCTATATTAGTGCACAATATCCTTGTCCCGCAGTGGACTGATTGTTAAGACGCGGTTCCCAGCAGATCACCGAAGTCAAGCATCACTGGCTGCGGTCAGTGTGCGGGTGGGTGACCACTTGGATCAGTCTGAGTAGGGACCGAGGGTGGGCGGTATTGGTCCTCATTAAACTGTTCTACCGTAAAGTGCTCGACTTCGCGTGCAGGTTGTCGGGCTACGACAGCGGGGGTGCCATCCCCTCCGCAGAGCATCAAAATTGTAATGGCATGTCTTCGGATCATCCTCAGGGATGTTTTCCAGACTGTTGCCAATAGCACATCGTGCAGCTCTAATGCGATGTAAATAAAGTACCTACATACCTACGCCACCTGTAGCTACAACGTCTCCACAAAGCTTTGAAAGTTTAAAGCTTGTTTTAAATCGCACAGACATATGCAACAGCAAGTGACTAATCAAAACAAAAAATTTTATCTCTTTCTGATTCAAGATTCTACTCATTAAATAAATATAGGACATTAACTTTCTGAAATAAATATAGGACATTAACTTTTCTGATAAATATAATTCCGAATTAGGATGAGTGCCCTACTCTTAATTTTTTATGTATTCTGTAATCAGCATTTGGGTATGGAACTGTTTTTCTCATATTTCTTTTAATTATGGTATCCGAGTGATTTTTATTAATTCATTCGACCTTAATATGAAATCAAATTATATTATTAATTTGATTTCATATTAAAGTTGAAGAAATGTGAGTCGTTTGTAACAATTGTAACGAACCTAACTATTATTTTTTTGTAGTAAATGATATAGTTACAAGTCAAATGACACTCATATCTTTTGAGAGGTCCGTCAAAAAATTTTATAAAACTATTGATTTTTACTAAACTTTGCGTTAATTCATTAAAATTAAGTGCATAAAGTATCAAAATTAAATTTTAAAAAAGAACTGGGTTTTGAAACAAAAAATATTGTGATGGATCTATTTTCGAGATGAAATATTGGTGTAGAATTACTTAGAGATATTTTTATATTGGTGCTAGTAAGTTTTTGTCAGCAGTGAACAAAATTGTCTGCTTTTTCTTTTGTAAGCAACTAGTTTTATAATCATGCATCTAATGATTAGTTGCTTTTTATAGTACATAGGTTATTCCCTACAAATTGGCTATTTTCAGGTAGGAATAACAACAACAAAAAATTGTCAGAAATTAATTTTTTGCAATAAGCTGCAGGATAAGGTACTAAACAAGAAAAATAGTCTCGGTTATTATTAAAATAAAATGCTTTTATTATTTTAAGTATTTATTAAAGTGAGTTTATGATAGCATAGTAAGAGAATAATTATTCTAGTCACAAACATGCATATAATAATATTTTTAATGAACATGTTTAAGTACATCCTTAATTGCTTTTTAAATTATGTATTATCCATTTCTGCCAAGTATTAACTGTAAAATATATATATTATTTAATTGTATCAGCTATAAGTACTAAACATGAAAATAAATTATGGGCTGCTAATTTTTAACAGGTTTTGATTATTTTCATCTTTTTTAACCACTAAAAACCTACTTTTTATCATGTTATGGTAAAACTTGTTATTAAAATCTAACCTGAACCATATAATTCCAAATGTTATTTGAGTGTTCCAGCTATTGAAAAAACGCTTGATTCCAAAAAGATCAGTTTTAGGAAACAACTCTAAGGGTAGAAACGTATTACTGTATAAAAAGTTTAAATCTCTTTTTCTGCCCATTATAGATATTTATAATTTTATTCTTTAGTGTCAAAATCGTCGTAGCTATTTGAATAGTCTTGGAGGCATTATTTGATAGGAGAATTCAGATGAAGGATTTCTGACTGATTTAGAAGATGTGATTGGCTGTTGCAAATTATGACTTCATGATGTAAATGAAGCTGGTAAAGTTGCTGTTGATTGGGAGTTTTCTTTAAAGAACAATTGCTGCATGTGGCCAGCTCTAAATATATTTTAATGAGTAAATATCTACCTGATTTTTTCATTGCAGGTCCTTATGTTAGAAAAACAGAAAAACAAGTTCCAGACGTTCACAAACATATTTAATAAGGAAGACGTAGATACATAGACAATCAAAACAACAGACAAAATTCCAAGAGCTCTACATTCTTTAAAATCATATAGCCACCTACCGGTTCAAGGTTAATGCCTAAACATATCCATATAACTCAGAGTAAAAAATGAAACCACAGTCTACACATGGTTTTATTTTTCTGAAATAACAAATGATTATATGATAGTGTTTTCTTTAAAGAATTATTAAAATAGACTCAAATTAAATTCTAATTTAAAATGTATTCTTAAAAGTATTTTTTCTCATTGAAGGAAAAAGATTCCATTTATAATTATCATTACGATTGCATCTCATTATTTTTACTTTTTATAAATTATTATTTTCCTCTTTTTATAATGTTTTATGGTACGTTAACATTAATTTTGGTCCCATCTGTTTAAAAAAAATTTTTTTTTATGAATAATATAATTGTTTTTAAAGCAATACGAAGCTTTTTTTTTAAAAAAATCATGAACGTGGTATAAGTATTAAAAAATACTGTAGTGCAAAAATAAACAATTGGTATTAATTTCATTGAACTCACTAATTCTATTGAATCGTTTCTACGATTAATCACTGAACCAATAGAAATTAGTAAAAAGTTTTTAAAAACTGAAATTTGAACCATTTCATTAATGAATAAAACTTTACACATCCCTTATTTGAAACATTTTAAATTTTAATTCAAAAACTAATTTAGTTTACATGGAATGCCAGATTTTCTCTTTTCACTAACATTTCACTTATTGTTCTGGGTACATACATTTTTCCTGCATTTATATTTTGTTTTGAAAAATGACTTAAGAGAATGCCATACCCTTAAGGAAACTTTTCATTGAAAGTTCTCTTTCATCACCATAACTAATTTAAAGTGAAGAAAAAATGAGTTCAGATAAACCTAGAGTAAGTTATCAAGTTTAAATCGCTTAAATTTTTTTTCTTCTAAATTTAAAAATGTAAGCAAATTATTGGAAGTAACCATTGCATAATCAGAAGTTATCTTCTCATAATTTATTTTCATTTTGATGCTTTTATTGCTTTATTACCAGTATTTGAAACTTTATGGCTTACACTAAGTTTGTCTGAATTCGCTTTTTCTTTAATTTAAATTAGTTATTAAGGTGAAAGAGAATTCGCAACATAAAGTTTCCCATGTGGTATGATGTCCTCTTAAGCATAATTTTGCATTTAATAGTATAAAAATAATTCTTGATCTTCTGCCAGCACTTACAATTGTTTGGACCAAAGCTTAATGTTGCCTTCTACATTTAATCATGAAGTATACAAGCATAACATTTAAGTAGTATTTACATATGCAATTACTGGTAAGAAGATATTTAGACTAAAAATTTCTTTACAATGACAATTTAATGAACATAATATAGCTTTAATTATGGTAAATTAAGAAAATATTTTTAAAGAAATTATCCAGATAAAAAACAATGGGTCCAAACCAATTGTTTTCTGCTAACCTTGTATTTCTACTTATCAAATTATTTCCTGATAGCCTTCAAAGTTTGAGCCTATGTCAGTGATAAATTTGATTGTCATTCATTTTATTGATGCTGAATCATTTTTTCAGATGCAGAATGTACTTTAAACCCTCCTTATATTGGATCTACAAAGTGAGACTGAACCACTTATTCACACATTTTGCAAAAAGCTTACACAAGCACCTGCTTCAAAAATGGCCTGATAGTGTAAGTTTTATTTTAATGCTGAGTTCTGAATATGTTTGGATATGTATATGAATCTGTTTATGTATCGCTGTATCTTAAAAAAATTGTTTGAATTTTAAGAAAACTTGTTTTGTTTAGAGCTTGGATCATGTAAACTAGGGGCACACAACCGTTTTGAGTGAAGGGCCACTTGCACAGCAGGTTGACTAACCAAGAACTGCACTTGTATTTGGACATGTTAACAGCAAATATAGTAAGATTTATTTAAACATTAGTGTTCTAATTTTTTTTATCAATAAACTTAGTAATATATTTATAAAAAATTAAAGGCGTTCAATTATTAAAATTCTTAAAAAAATAAAAAAAACTACTACTTTTTTTAAAAAAAATTGGCATTTTTATCATATCAAAACTAGATTTATCAAAATAAATAAATAAACATTGGAGAAAAGAAGTGCTTTTTTTTAATCATATTTTGCGATGCAAAAATTCATTTTAAAAATAAATTCTAATTAAAAAAAACTGCAATGCTCATTGAATGAAAGTAGGAAAAAATTTGGTACATAATTAAGTAATATGAATGTTGAATTCCAAGCGTAACAGAGGGGAAATCACACAAGTATTTTATTCTGAAAAATGTATTAAATATTTTTGAAAACAAAAATTCTACTAGAATATGATACTTTAGGGTTTAATTAATTGGCATAAAATAATAAAAGAGCCTCATAGTTAAATTGCAAGTTAATTAAAAGTACTTGTGACAGAGGGAACAAATGAAATCCCAAATTTTTGACATGCACTGTTATTTACGCTAAATTCTGTGACCACCCTAAACATTATATGTAACTTTTTTTTTAAATTATCACATTTCAAGGTAAAATAAATCATTATAAGATTTTTAAAATTGCAAGCACAAGTCCAAATAATGCATTACATTACATCTTACAAATTTGACAAAAAATTAAAATGAAATATCACTATCATAAGTTACTCTTCGGTTATTTAAAGTTGGAGTTGGCAGCACTTCTATAATTGAAAACCGTGCTACATCTTTGTAGTTATATTTGAAAGTTTTTATTTTACTAGACCATGTTTAAAAAGAAAGAAAGAAACAAGTGCATTGTTTGTTTCTTTCCCAATTTCAGTTATTTCGGCAACAAAATTAACTACTAAATTTTTTCCTAGAGCTTTTTACAGTTACAAAACTATCTATTGCACAATGGTTATAAAATAAAAAGTCAATTGAACGATTGTCGTGAGTTGTTATATTTAGTCATTCTATATAGTTATTAGGCAAACAACTATGATTTTAATAGTAAATTCTCATTTTCGTGAATAGCACATACACATTTTGTATGGTGTTTTACCTACACATAAAATATGGATAGGTCGTAGTACAGCAAACTTAGATTTGCCAATTTTTATGTTAGAATGCATCTGCTTTGATACTTGATAAAATTCCATCAAGGTGCACGTTTGACTTTGTGGACTTTCTGTCCATTTTCTTTGACAACCATACATTCAGCTCTACCAGAAGTCTGGTAAGAAAGTTTATTAGATAGTAGAAATTTATTCCAAGCCTTTTTTGTTTCATCAGAAACTCTGTTACTAAGCTATTTCTTTTGTTTTGGTAGTAAGGTTGCTGAGTGTGCAGAGAACAGTATAATGTTTTCTTGGAGATACATATAATGCATTTTTTTTTCAATTTATCTATTTTTCTGTTAAGTTTTTTTTTTCAAAATACTTCTGTTATCATAAATTTTTGCTTCATATTCTTTATCTTTCTTCTCACAATTATCTTTATTTATCTGAGAAAATATAGAACAATCTAGTTCTATATTCTCTCATTCTTTCAGCTGCTGTTTTCCCCATACTGATTACTCACTTAGAAACTTTTAACTATAAACTAAGCGCAAAGTCAAATAAAAATTGCACAGCTTTGTATGAAAAGTGTGCTCTAATAGTGGAGGAACTGGTTTAAACTAATTGAATCAGGATGCATTAGCACTTGTTTACATTCCTAGAGTTCCTTAATGGTCAACTTATCAATTTTGTGTAACTGAGGGGACATTTAGTTTTGTCCTCACTGTTATAGGAGAAACTTTAAAATTTAAAATTTTTTTTCTTCAAAAATATAGCTTAACATGCGTATACTTATGGACTTTATTATAAAAACCAAATATTAAGTAAAAAGGTTTTTTTGTGTAATGAATAAAATAAACTTAAGAGAATAATTGTAACAGAGGGGACAAACATATATTTGAGATAATTTTTGATTTAAACAATAAGAAATTTTTTTTAACGGTAATCACTGCATAATTAGACTCAGGAACAATTTATTTTACAATATAAATCAAGCTGTATGTAAAATCATAATATTTTTAATAACTTATTCTTCTTTAAAAGAGATAGTTTTTTTGGTAAAATAAGTCAAAATCATAAAGCCTCTCTATTTATAATAAATTTTACTATAATCATGCATAACTCCAAAGAATAACATTTAAATTTATAAATTACAAAGGATTTCCTTTACACTGATACCAAATACAAGGATATTGCTCAAACTTTAAAAATTCACTACTTGTTTCAGTTGGCATAGAATTCAAATTAAATACTTTAATTGAACAAAATTTATAAGTTTTAAGCAAAGGCCTAAAATAAAAACAAAACTGTTCAAAATAAATTCTAATTCTTATTTGGTAATGTACTTTATTATTTCTTTTTATGGATTATTCGATTTTTTTTATATAGTTAACGTTTTCTTTTTTTAATTGAGAAAGATCACTTAACCAACAAAAAATTGAAATCAAAACTGCAAACAGTGAGCAGTTTAAAAATTCATGTTTTTCACCTCTTTATGAATTTCTCAGGTTCTGAAAACATTGCATTTATATTAGGGATGTAACGAGTATTTGGCCCTTTTCTCAAAAATTCAGTTGGTTGAAGGATCAGCCAAATATTCAGCGGAATATTTTTTAGAAAAGTATTTTTTTTTTTTGAATTTATGTAGATATGATAAAGAATAATATAAAATCGTATTTTTAACTATATAGTATTGTTTATTATTAGATATAGTTATTACACAAATTTCTTAAATTTTAAAATCCATGTTTCTGCACATGACTAGCAAATTTATCTCATAGAAGACAAATGGAAAAACTGAATTTGAAGAATTGAAACTAGATTAGTTAAAAATACGAACAAGATCTTAATTATCTTAATTGAAAAATCTTAATTATCAGGTGATACTATACAGTTGTATTGTTTTTACTCGGAGGAAACCGGTTTGCACTTGTTTATGTTAGTGTATCAATTGGTTAAATTAGATGATATATAATATAAATTTCATGATAGGATAAATTAGACGACATATTATATAAATATAGAATATTTATTATATCAAGCATTATATTAGTATATTATAATAATTAGATCAAATTATTAAATACACTGTAGTTTTTTAATTTTTACTTGATTTGCACGAGTTTATGGGTAATACTTTTATATTTAAACATTCGTGTAATGGGTTTTTATTTAGGAGATTTTGTATTAATTTTTAACGTATTGCATTACAATGTTAACCAATTGATACAGGACCGTAAACAAATGCAAACCGGTTTCATCCGAGTGAAAACAATACAGCTGCATAGTATCACCTAATTATTATAATTTTACATAGAATCTTATAGTGCATCTAATAATATATCCAGGGATTATGTATATTCTATTATTAAACTAGTTTGTTTACTATGAAGTAGTGTGGATAAACCTTTTTTTTTTGCTTTTGAAACATATGATTTATTTTTTATAACTAGACAAAGTTTGCTGTTGTTCCTTGTGTATTTATTTAGCACATGAAAATTTTTTTTTATCTTTAAAAAGTTACCGACAGTAAAATTTTCAATTTCAAAATGTAGATTTTGCTATTAAATGTTATGAAAATATATATCCTTCTGTGTGTGATCTATTAAAATAAATTAAGTTATTCTTTACATGTTTCTAGAATAGATTAAAGAAAGACTATAGGGAAAAAAACAAAAGCATTTTTCTCTCTATTCTTAATTTTTCTTTTTTCTTTCCACATGTTCGTAATGTAAGTCTAAATTGCCAAGCACTGAAACTTAACTGGAAAGAATGGTAAAGACATCAACCTAAAATTGTTTTGTTTATTCCACTCATTTTTTTTTGAAGAAATATTAAATTAATACTTTTACAGTTCATATTATAACCTGATAAGTGTTATAAGATTAATATCATGTATTTAAATAACAAAATACTTTGATAAAAAGACACCTATCTCTCTTCAAATTTATTCCTTAAAACTTTAAGAGAAATGAAATTACTCTGTAAAATCTATTGGATTATAAGAAAAAACCTTTTTATTTTTAACTCTATTTATTGAAATATTTGATATTATTCAAAATTTTCCTTTGAAGTTTCTTTCATATTATTGTTATGTATGACTTAGAACTATTGTTTTGTGATTAATGTTATTGTTGTAATAATATATTTATCAGTAATTAATACCTGATACGGTGCACTGTTGTATCACTGTTGATAATTTATTGTTAATCTTAATTATGCATAATTTAAATTTTTTAAAGTATTAATGATAAAAGTTACAGCTGGAAAAAGTTTTCTTGTACAGTTAATTCTTATATTTATTAGAAATGATTATTTATTTTCTTAATATCATGATAATTTTTACATAATAAAATTAACTTAAATGATATTAAATTTGTTTGATATTAAAGCATAGATCTGTTTAGAGTATTTAAAAAATGTAGACATTATATTGGTTCATTAGAATAGTAGCATATAATAAGTTGTTGAATATACTATGTTGTTTTTTTTAACCACTTTTTGTAATAACTTTTTTTTAATAATAAAATTGAATGTTAATTTAATCTAAAGTAAAGTTTTTTTCTGAAATGCAAAATTATCCTAAAGCTAATTAAAGTTATTTCATGGATTATATTTAGCTAAAAACAAATAATGAACTGAGATATCCACAACTTCCATATTTTTTTTCAGAAATTATGGCTTTTAAGGTTACTGAGATTTTTGTAAATTAAAATGTTTTACTTGTATGAGTTAGTAGTAGAAAACAATTCTGGTGTAACTTACAGTAAGGCAAATTTTTTACAAAAAGTTTGACTTAGTTTCTTTGAAAAGTGGGTCAACTAATTAAAATTCTTTTTGCAACTAAATTTTATTGTGCTTATTTATTAAATATTGAGAACAGAATCATCTCAAGAAAGATAAATAATTTACATTCATATTTGTATAATTTTCAATTTAATTTAAAACTTTCATTATTATTCAATATTTGACATAAAAATAAAGAACATTCTTTATTATAAAAGTTAATTTTTCTACTTATGCATTACATTTGGATGGTTTGTTCAGTGTCTAATGTCAAAACATACCTAAATTATTTTAAAAAGCTTAAATTGACTGAAGCAGTGTGACATAAATGCATAAATTACGTATTAAAAAAGATCTAAATCTTTTTTTTATTCAAACTATGTTCTTGTTTTAATAATTTCTAATAATCAGATTTTTTTATATATTATCATTTACTGATAAATGAATATACTGATTATTTACTGATATCATTTACTGAATGATGCTTGATAAAAATTTATAAGAAACAATTTTTTTTTAAATTTATTTTTCATTGAAATGTAAGAAGCAAGTTATAGCCATTTTTTAAATAAACTTCATAGCTTATTCGTGATTCGACAGGTTCGCAAGTTATTAGCGTATCAATGCTAAGAACAACTATATGTATATTATAAATAATTTAGCATACTAATTTTATTATAATATTACATGTGCTTTACAAAAATAATATTCTAAAAAAGTAAAAGTTATTTTCTACCTAAGGCCAGACAGTGACTGCTAAAGAGAAAGATATTTTTGCCGATATTAAGGAACAATTAAGAATACTTCTCGAAAATCAAATTACTCATTTTGGGTAATTATACTATTATTTTCTTTATAATTTAGGCTGAATTGGCTTATTATTTAAAATCCACTTGCTAATTTCTTTTCTTAAGTTTTGGTTATTCTCTTAGAGGTTGTCTCTTTTTTCGCTCTAGTCTTAGTTAATAGCAAACTTTTATCAGTTTACCTGAATCAGATAATATTGTTTACATTTGGTGCAGTATGGCCAATTTTTGAAGCTCAACTCTTAATTCAATTTTTTTTTTGTAAATTTAAAATACTGTTTAAATCTTTTTATTTCTTAATTTAGTTTGTGTAAGAGGGGTGATTGTATTCCGGGGGTATCCCGGAATTCCGGCTTTTTGGTATTATCTTTAAGGGTCTTGAAATTAGAAGCAGGGTATGTAATTTTTCTGGGAATATCACAAAATTCCGCCTTTCTCAATACAATTGGCTCTTCGACTTTCGCTAATCAAAAATTTATAATCCGACGAAATTTTCACAGAATTCCTGTCTTTTGCTTTAGAGGATTTTCGCCATTTTGAATATAACTGCTCTGGAAATTTTAAAAGTCCAACATTGAGATTCTTGCAAGAACTAAGATTTTTCTTAAATTAGTTAGCATGAAGGTGTGATATTCATCATTGATAGGTAATTATAAATCTTATTTTTAAAGAAAATTATGTTATATGTGAAGCATGCTGGGTATATAAAATGCTATCTCAATAGCGATTTTTTGAACATAAAATTGTCATTGTTTTCCACAATGGATAGAAGATAGGCTTCTTGATCTTCTAATAGAGTGCTTTGCGAAACATATTAGTTTTCATATTTTGCCTTGTTGATTTATTTTCTGAAACTGATAAAAAAAAGAAAATTCTTAACATAGTACAGCATCTTCCAATGGTTTTACAGACTTTGAATTATGATGTAAATATAACTATGTACCATTCATTTGTCTTTTGAATCAAAATGCATTTTGCTATATAACATATGTTTTTCTATCTTTTGGCCAATCAACGTTTTTTCTTCCTGTTTAGGTATTGCTTCCCTTTTGGTCGACCAGAAGGTGCGATTAAAGCTGCGCTTTCTTTGTTGGAGAGGGTATGTTAATTTTTTTTATTCTTAGATAGTACTCTTATATTACTTTGAAATATATTTATTACTTGTATAGACATACTTCTCGGAAAATACTTACAGTGACCTCTCACTTATGCACCACCTCTTTTATGCACCTTTTTCATTTATACGACAATTTTTATAGGTCCCAGTACATTAGATAGGAAAATAATGATAAACATCCTTCGTTTATGCGTCGCCCTAAAAATAAATTTTTCAATCATGCGCCAAATTTTTAGGCTAGAATTTTACTTTTTTAATCCTTTAAATATTTTTTCTTTTTTAAAAAAAAATTTTTAAATTAAAAATGAAGCAAATAATCAATCTTTGTTACAGATAAAAAGAAATATATGTTGTTAGATCCTATTGAATTTGCTTCCCCCTGTGACCTTTTCATTTTTGCTGTTTCTGGAAAGACATTCTTTCTAAAATTTTGAATAGGGTGTCTTATCTGTTACACCAACAACAATGAAAGTCCATTCATCTTTTCGAAAATGACCATTCCTCTTGTCCAGAGGTTAGTTTTACTCCCATGTTGTTTTCTAGAAAGAAAAAAAGGACACCTGGAATACGAAAGATGAAAGAGACTGTGATCACTTACTTACAGTCAGATGGACATTAGGAGTAAATAAAAGGAGGTGATCTGCTTAGTGAAGGAAGTACTTGAACAATTTATTGTGCAGCTTATTATGACATAAAGTACTTTTCTTAGAAATTTATCATGTGATGTTTCACCCCCTCCCATAAAACTCAAATTTTTTGTGAAGAACTGTTCATTTATATCTAACTAAAACTTGTGAACGATGAGAACGTGGTGGATGATAAAGTTCTTCCAAATCACATAGCAGTATTGAAAGCTTTAGACACTATCTGGACTATTTACAATTTAATTTTGCTTCTGAAACTCCCCCTAATCCCATTTATATGAACTGGAAAAAACTGTTTTTGAATAAAGTCGGCAAAAACAAATACAAACATGTATTAAGATTATTTTGTAAGAAAATAAATTGTCTTATGGTATGTTAAATTTTTTCTTTCTTTGTATTATTATAGTAAATACCAAAACAGTATAAATATTAACATTTAATCTTTAGAAACATATTTATTCATATTGTCACTGCAATTTATGTTGCGTTTTAGAATTTTGAAGTTTTTCACTTATGCGCCTCTTTCACTTATGCGCTTTTTTCTCTTGGCCCCTTACACCGGTGCATAGATGAGAGTTCACTGTATATTGAAAATGAAAGCAAAACCTACTTTTGTTGCTTTAAAAATAGATTTCACTTTTTTTTCTTATCAAAAAATAGAATGTTTTGCTTATAAAAATTGAACATCAAAAACTTCAATGGCACTATTTGTAGATTTACTTCTTCTTTCTCTTCACTGGCCCTGGGTGGGTCCTGGTCTTCTCCAGGCATCTCTTTTGAAGATTGTTTTCCAGATTTTCGCCTTAAAAGTGTTACACAACTTGTGAAACTCTTCTGGAATCTGTCTTAAAGTAGAGTACTTGTGCAGTTTACCAGAAATACTTTTTTTAAGCACCAATCTTCTTTAATGCTGGTCAGGCAACCTGCTTATTTGAATCTCTAATATTTTGAAAATTTTACTGCATGTTGCTATAGATCTTGTTATCTATCAGGTTGTCTATAGATCTTATAAAGTTATCGATTATATCTATATAGATATATATATGTTTTAAAGTTATAGATATATACAGGGTATCCGCGCACCTGAAAGTCATGGAAAGTCATGAATTTCAGTAATGAACAAAATTTGTCATGAAATGTCATGATTTTAGCTATTTTTTAAAAAAAATCATGAAAAGTCATGAATTTAGGTTGCCGAAAAATCTAATTTCTAAAATGGAATATACTAATTTCATGATGTTCCGAATATCTGAATTTGTAACAAAATCTCCACTCACAGTCATATTTAATTAAAATATGAAATGTTTTTATCGTGTTCTTTAAAAATTATGGTGTTCTTTCAAAAAATGAAGGGAAAAACATTTCTAGAGCGAATTATCTTTTAAACTTCTGTAATTTCAGAATTTTTGTTACTATTTTTTTTTTTAATTTTATCAATTTTAAATTCTAGCTGAAGCAAGCCAGTTATTGCCAAATTTTTTTATTCCGAAATGATAGCAGAAAAATCAGGAGTATTGCTTTTCTTTCTGATGAACAAGAAAAGTATCTTTAGAATGTAATTCTGCAGAAAAAAGAAGAAAAATTTATTTGCTTTTGTATTTTTTTCAGCCAGCTATATTATTGCTTCAACTCTTTCTTTACTCTGTTTTTTAAATTTAAAATCTATAAATATGAAGATGCAGAGTATAACAGTTTTGGTTATACCTATCATTTCAATTAATGTTATTATGTAAAAAATGTCAGATTGGTAAAAATTTCTTGCTCTCAAGTTCCGTGATTTACTGATTCATACTACTTATTTACTGATTCATTTACTATTTCATAAAAAAATATATTTCTACAAAAAAAAAATCCTGCTTTAGTTTATTACGATTGGAAAAACATTTTGCAAAGGCTTCAAATATTATAAGCTATGCATGATATAATATTAAATTCAATACTTAAATCACTTTGAACAACAAAGAAAATTACCTGAGAAATTAATTTTCTGTTCTGAAAATGGTTTCCTTAATTGCTTTTCAAGCACATTTTTTTTAATAATCTTATGCCTTCCTTACTCTTACCTTTTATGATTTTCAATTATATGTAGGCAATTTAGTTAAATTGGTCTTGGTATTTTTTTTTTTTAATAATTCAGAGATAATTGTGCTCCTGAAAAGATCCAGATTTCAGGATTTTTCATTAACCGCGTTCCTGAAATTCAATGTCCAGAAGAATCAAGAAATCATCAATCAACATTTATGTATAGAAATTCTTGTATATTTTTTTTAAAAATATTAGAACTAGAATTCATACATGATATCTCTTCTGATGAAAGACAGTCCTTAAAAGTGCTTTTAAACTGTTTACCTTTATTTTGAAAAATGAAGACCCTTAAAAGTACTTAATTTTGTTGCAAGGTTTTAAAAAGTCCTTAATTTTTCAGCATCACTATACTTGCTAGGAACAATTTTTCAGTTCAATTTTTTAAAACAAAGAATCGTTCTTTTATCACCTAGAATTAGACCATGCACCGAGGGTAGAGCATTTTAGAAAGACAAGAACGGATGTGTATGAGGGGGCAGCAGGCAAGGAGAACATGTCCTTTCATTTATATATTGGTTGCTTAGTATATACATTAATATATGTAGATAGATGGCTCTTTTTAATTCAGATCTTACTAATCACGAATAATATAAAAAAAGGAAGAAAAAACTTGTCCTCTTTTTTCCCCCCCATTAGATTGAATTTCAGCACCTTATTTGCAATTTTAATGTTGTATGATTCTAACCTCAATTTTCCTCCTTAATGTCTAACAGACTTAGAAAATGAGAGATAGATGAATGATATTTCACTGGAAAATGGACTATATTAATAATTTTTTTAGTCCTAACATATTTAAAAATTTGATTGTGTTTATTTTTCTTATCTTTATTTTTTAGTGCTGCTGTTCTCTTAAGATATCCCAGAAAACACAAGATTCCTCTTGAATATGTCATTATTGAGGTAAAGTTATTTCATACAATAGCTTTAATTGATGTATTTGAGATAAAGCATCCTAAGAAACGGTTGCGGAAATATTTATTTGAAAATGTAAAAATTTTAGTTTTTCTCATTCATGCCTTATGAGTCTTGAGAATTTGTGCCTATATTTGAGTGCTTGATGCATGACGACTTTTTCCTCCTTTATAATTTGGAAAGTAAAATAAAGTTTTAACATTTTTAAGTAATATTGCTGTGTTAAAAGATTTTTTTTTTTTAAATAAAAAATTTGCTTTGGTTATACATTTTAAATATATGTTAGAAGAAAAAATAACTTTTTACTTCAGATTTTTTCCCCCTTTAAAATAATTTTATTTATTCTTTTATTTTTTTTTTCTACTTGAGTAGAAATATTCCTAAAAGTTTTATAATAAAATTCAAATAAAGTATTTTTTTTATGTCGCTATGCTAACTGGACATATTTTAGAGAAAAATTCTCAGAGCTATCTTCCACACTTTGTGGGAAGGAGAACTTTGGAGAACAATATTCAACTTTATAGGCAACAAGTAACATAAGTTATGACAGTACAGTCTGATATCTGGCTACCATACTATCTAACCTAGGAATAAAAAAGTGGAACATAGGAACTAGCTCTTTGTGAAATTCATTGTGGTTGGTGAAGAAGGAAAAAAATTAAGATTGCTAAAGCAGTTGTCCATACACTTTTACTCTTCCTAATCATAAGTTTTCCCATTTGTGTTATTTATCCATAAACATTGAATATTATTACACTAATAATTTAACTTAAAATGTGTGATGGGTATTATTAACCCACAGACCATTCGGCATGTAAAAAATCGTATTTCAACCTGTAGTTTTCTCCACAAATCAAAACCAGTTTTTCCATGTTAGGGAAATCGGGGAGAAACATTCTTTCAAATTTTGCCATTTACTAAACTGCTAGTGGGATTTTGTTTTATCCAGCCAGCATTTCCCTCTTAATAGACTGGATAGTTGGACTGTGATTGCCATGATTACTGGACTTCGTTTTAAAAAGCTTGGAAGTTAACCTCACTGAAATCTTGGATTTAGAAATTCTTAGATTTTTTTAGCTGAGGGATCTTGAGCAAAAGGAAGACCACTGACCTTGAGGTTGGATGACAAGGAAAAAAAACTTAACTTTGAAAAGTTAAAATTGGAGTTCTCACTGCTGAGGAAAGATGTTAAAAGAAGTGTGAGGTTATACAAATGTGCTAGATTTTCTGTGTTTTTAGAAATGAATAATTAAATTTTACTTTTTTTCGAAATAAATTATTGAATTTTACTTTTTTTAGAAATAAATAGTTGGATTTTGTTTCAACATTATTAAAATGTGTCATATTTTTTTTTCTTATCTTAAATATTCATCAAATGAGAACAAAATTTCCCTCTGATGTCATTTTAAAGAAAAAATACCTTATTTTTTTAATCTCCCTATGTTAATTTAAATCTTGATTGATAGTTAGTTCTTAAACGCTATGAAAATAATAACTTCTGATGTTTTAATAAAATATGCGTTTTAATGAAGAGGTTTCCTTTCTTAATGTTAAAATTTTATACCATTTTTAAGCATTTTTGGTTGTTTTCTAAGCGAGAACCAGAGTTTTTAAAATTGTTTAACATATGATTTAGCCAAAGAATTTTGTTAGAATCATGGTATATATTTATTTAATAAGTGTCGATTTATTATTAAAAATATCCCCTAAATTATGATTTTAGAAATGAACTCAAGAAAACTATTTTTAGATATTAGACTCATACTTTCAATTGCCATTTTAATATTTTAGGCAACCATTTAATATCTATTTATAGTTATTAAGTTTGTAATATGACTTCCTAAAATATTTTAAAGTGAGAGAATAATAAATCAATTTATTATTTATTTCTTTTTTAATCTTTGTTTTATTTTCAGGTTCTATTTGGGGAAATTTTCAAATTACCTGTTTCAAACTATCGTGAGGTCTGCTTAGATTCACTTTTTCTTGAACTATATAAACTGCAACCTAGTACAATGCCTCGAGTTGTATCCTTTCAAGTTGTTTTCTTTCAATTTTTAGTGTTTTATTTTAATTGGCAAGCATGCAATTATGTAGTGTTATTAGCTAAAATAATTAAAACACAGCATCTTTCCTCTCTGTTATTCAGTTTATTATGTTTTACATTAACCGAAATTTAAATATTTATTGATAAGAATTTACAAAGCAACCAAAATTATTATCAACAATTAAATATATATTTGATTTACTTTCTGATGACGTTTGATTTACTTTCTGATGATATTTAATTTATTTTTGAATTTTATTTTAAGTTACATGAGGGTAGTTTTGTTGGAATTAAAGTGTAAATTTTTGAGAGGTTACCAAGTTGATATAAAATATTATTTCTTTTTTAACTCTGTAGACTGCAATATTAGGTTTATGATTCATAAATGAATTGCAGGAATTATATGTCACTTTTATGTGTTTAAGATTGACACATGAATTATTAACTTTCCAAATGAATTTAAATTAATTTCTGAATTTATTAAAATTGTTTGTGAAAGCACATGTCTGACACCAAATTGTATATATTAAAAATTAATTTCTGTAATAATAGTAGCAGTACCATTAAATTAGAAATTGAATTTTGGCTATTTAATAATAAATGACTTTTAGCAGAGGTATTTATTTAATCAGTTTAATATTTATATTTTTTTATGAAACTGATTACTGTTTTTTTCCCCTTTTCTTTTTTTAAGCATAATTGTTCCTGGCTTTGTAATAGCTATTACTAATCAGTATTTTAAGAATGTAGATAATAAAAAGGAAACAATATTTAATATTTGTTTGTAACTAACAAAATTATAGATTTTTTTTATTATATCTGTGTACCTTAATATTATTTTGATTTTGTACTGTAGGTCTATTATTTTAAACCCTTGTTTAAATCATAAATTTTCTTAACTTTTACATAGCTAGCTCGAGCACTGGAATTAATTTATAAAAGATTAGATACAATGAGCATTGGTTGTATAAATAGGTCAGTTTAATATTTTTTAAGAATGTTCAGAATTTTTTAAACAATTTTTAATTAATTTTAATTATTTATTTTTTGATTCAAGTGTATTTTAAATAATCAAACTAAAATTTTGGCTATGATAGTTTATCAATTTTTTAGCTAGATAAATATAAGCACCTAGTCTACAACATTAACAGTTCTTGGAGCTTTATCTTTTAACAGCTATGATAAGAATGCCCACATAATTTAGTATCCATATGGATAATGGGAAAATTTAGATTTTGCTTTGCTAAATAATATAATAAATTTTGTTTGGTTATAATAAATTGATAAATAAATAATATTTATTGTAATTAAATGTCTCTACTATTTCAGATTTTCTAGTTGGTTTGCTTATCATTTAAGCAATTTTCAGTTTTGTTGGAATGGGGATGACTGGAATGAATGTATTAGTATGAACCCTTTACATCCAAAACCTGTGTTTGTTAGAGAAACCCTGAATAAAGCTTTAAGGTAAATTAATCAACTATTCAATTTAAATACATATTCAAGATAATGTTAACTGATTCTATTTGCATCAAAATCATTCCTGCAAAATTTTTTTAAATTAATTGCTTAGTTATCTGTGTGGAAACAAGATAATAATCTTTTAAATTATCTGGAAGTAGGAAAATTCAGAACAAAATGATTCAAAATGCAAAAAATATATTAAAAGTAATTTTTTTGTATTTTTTATTTATTTTTAATTTAATAAACTATTTCCTATTCTATAAAATAAATGTTTGTAACATTCAATATAATTTTATGTACTAAAATCCTTTACAATTAGTGGATTAGTTATCAAATCATTAGTGAATTATGGACCAAATTATAACAAATTACACAGACTTTGGTTCTAGAGTAATAAAAAAATATTTTATGAAAGTAAGAAAAAAAATTAAAATTTAATTTATTCATATCTGATTAATTCTAACAATATTGTTCTAAACACCTGTTATTATTTTTTTAAAAAGAATAATTTGTGCAATGTTTAATTTTTTTAAAAAATAATTCCACACATTCTTCATAGTTAGTTAGCAATATTCAAGCAGTTTAAATCACTGTATTCATATTAATTATATAGCAGCATATATGCTTCTTTCTTTCTTCATGTATGCTTTTCCCCTAGACTTTCTTATTATCAAAGAGTGGCTGACTTAGTGAAAGAAGGTTAATCTTGTTCCTTCTGTGACTTCTTTTAAATATGGACAAGAAGGGGCTGATGAGATTTTTAATTCACTTTTAGATCAAATGATGATTTTAATTTTCGATTATTTATTTAATGATGTTTTATGTGAGTTATAAAAAAAAGGTCTTCTATTTATATGGCATTTTTTTCCAAAATTGTTGTTTAACTGTCAAACTATTGTTTATGTGTTTAATTGTTAATTATATTTATGGTAAGCTGCAAGATATTAACATTCTGCAAGATTCTGTTCAACCAGTGAACATTTTAAAGGTTGCTTTGGAAGTGCATTTTGTTCCAGTGTACTTCATTGTGTCCACCCACCATTATTAAACTCAATATACTTGTATTTGATCAACCAATAAAACATTTTGGCATTTATTATACTGTGAATTGTAATATTTAATTACATCAGACAGAAGATATCAAATTTCTGAATTTTATAGGCTGACGGTAAGTCATATTTGACAACTTTTCCAGATTTTGTGTATAATTTAATTTTTCAAAGTGGTTACTTAATTTATGCGTTTTTTTTATTTAATTTACAGATTTATTAATTTCTATATGCTAAATATTGTTATACATGAAAAATATAAATGATTAATATAAGTAAATTCCACATACATGTAAGTGTGTAATAGTTATTAAATTGTTAAACATCCAGTAAAAAAATATTTCTATCTGGCATTGTAATTCAAATGTCATTTCTTTACCATTTTGAAAAACTCTCAGAAAAAGTAAAAGTTGCCAAGTGTGCCATAAGTTGGACAAGCTTGTATTAAAAAAGAATTAATCTTCTGTGGGTCATAATGTTTGTTTCTTTATAACTTTTAATAATATTTTAATATGCATAAATGAGGAATAACTAAAACACTATTTTTGATATCTGATTAATTTTATTAGGGGAAAAAAGTAGGAAAAAAACATTTGTCAAGTTTCACCAATTCTAATATATATATATTTGCATATAAAATTAGTGAATCAGAATCAGGAAGAAAGTTATATCTTTTGGTGAATTTACATTTTTGTTTAAAATTTTTTTACGGCTGTCTGAAAGGAAAAAGATAAAAATTAAAAAAAATAGTAATTATAAAAATAATTGTAATGGGAAATTTGACTGAGTAATTTTTAATGATGCACATTGTGTTACTATAGGCAATGGCTATACGAAGAAGAAAAAAAAAAGAGAATACTAGAATGATTTTTTTTTATATCGAACTGTGTGTACAGCTTAAGAAATTAGGTATTAACTTTTGAAATATTTTTTTTTTCTAAAAGTATTAAATCCATAATTTTTTTTTGAATAAATTGATGAATAAAAAGAATCTTAAATCAAGAGGAAACTCATAATGATTAGGTTTTGTGTCATTTACATCACATATATATATAAGAGTAAACTAATCTCTATATATAACAATGATATAATTTAGATTGTGAAGTAAACTGAAATGATTTGTTATGTTTTTATCTTTTATGAAATCATCCAAAGTCTATAGTATATCAGTTAATATTTTATATTTTTGACTCGTTTTCGTGAAAAATTTTCCATTTTATTTGTTTAATTACTAAAAAACTTAGGACAAGACCTTTTTTTAAAAATTTGTCTTGGAAACTTTCAACTTTCTTTCCGGGTCACAGTACACTGATTGATAAACATTAAGTACATGCAATGCTATATTAAAACTAACATTGCATTATAATGAATATTTTCCAAACCAAAATTATATGAGATTTGTAAATATATTAAAAAATTTTAATTAAAAAAAGAAATACAGCATGATTTTGTGGATTTTCAGAAGTGTTGCCAGTCATTGTTGCAGCTCAGCAGTTGACAGGTGCACTGAAAGAGAGGTGCACTGCGGAAGAGGCCTTGTTACTTTTCAAAGACTTGCCCAATCCTCTCCAAGAAGATGATTGTACATACTTTTTTTTTATTGTTGTTATTAAAACTTTAATATGATCTTTAATTTCAAATTTCGGCAAATGTTTGTAAAAATGCTTACTGCAATCCCATTAAATGTTTTGAAAAATATTAAATGAATTATTTCAATTTAAAAGAAGAAAATATGTTTTTTTTTAACATATCCCCACTTTATACCATGATCCCTGACATACCCCACCTGATCCTACATGCTATTTCATTTTGGTACGGTACTTTACCTATTCCTGCTGGGTCATCAAACTCTTTACCTTTATCTAAATTTGTTTTCCTGATGTTTGTAATATGTATTGAATTTGTTACATGCAGTGGAACATACACGCAACCCTTTGAAAATTGATGTATTTGTGCAGTCACTATTAAATTATGCTGATAAATCATTTTCTCATGCATTTGCTGCAATAGCAAAGTAAGTTATTTATTTCCTTGAATATTTTATTTAATAGCTACTGTTTTTTTTTTTTTACTTAGTAATGTCAATATGTATAGTTGTAATACAATATGATTCTTAAAAAATTAGTGCTCTAAATATCAGGTTGAAAATAAAATATTGATAATAAATACTTTTAATTTGTCATGAAATTATTGACATATGAATTTTCGTAGGGTTCTTGTCAGAAACAAGCTGATGTTCAAATTGGTGGTTTATATAAGATAACTTATTTTCTCGGTTTTTTGTATTTAAGTAAATTTCAATATGTTTTATGTAGATATCATGCTGTTTTTAAAGTCTTATCCAAATCAGAAGAAGCCCAAATTTGTATTTTGTGAAGTATGTTTGAACTCTGGCATGCTTATCAACAGGTTTGTTAATTTTATTCTTTATTGCATTTTCTTTTCTTTTCCTGTTAAATTTATTTTTGTTGTTGACACCTCAACACTAATTATTGATGACTGATGCATACAAAAGTTTGGACCCTCTAAAAAAGTAATCACTTCAGCAGGAGTGGAATAGATAAAAAGTAGAAGACTTATGGTCCATTGCTGAAGTGTTTAAGCCACTGCATCTCTGCAAAAAGCAGTCACTTTGAAATCAATTAAATTTATTAATTAGTAAAAGTCTACTTTTATTATTATTTATTATATTTTGTTAATTTATTTATTTTTAATGAAATTAGATTAAATATTGTTTGTNTTTTTTTAGTTTTTTTGCTGCACCCTATTTATAAAAATGTTTCATTACTTTCTTCTTAAGATAATTTGTATTATTTTTTTTTTGTTGTTTCAGATGATGGTAGGGTTGTTTACACAGTTTTTGAAAGGTGAAATAGTTAAATGTTCTACAGTAGCTAATTGGTTCTTTTCCAAAGAGATGTCTTTAGAATTTCCTAAGCAAGTATTCTTTATTATTATTATGAGACATTTGAGTTATTACTTGTATATATAAATTTCTAATGTATGTCTATATATATACCTACTGGGTGTCCCATAAATGTTGCGGCAAACTTCTGTGGGAAGTAGGTTGGGCACTAAATAAGGCTTAAGAATTACCTTGGAAACCGTAATCAGAAATGTCATCATACACTGCTTTAGGCGCTTTATGGACATGTTGTGCTTTTGAACTTTTTCTAAAATATTTTAATTTCATATTAATTTTATGTTATTAGTTATTTTCGAGATTTCCATTAAAATAAGCTTACGAACTGCTGTTTTATCGTAATTTAATGATTAGGCAAGCTTGTCCAGTTTGTTGCCAAATCTTTAAATTACAATAAAACAGCTAATATTGTACTTATTACAGTGTTGTACAATAATTAATAGAAAACAAAAAAATGAAGATAATTTAGATAAATAAAAGTACCTGATGTTCATGGGCACAGTTCATAATAAGAATGCCCCCTTAGCAGCATACGATATCATTTCTGGTCATGGTTTCCTAAGTAATTCTTAATCCTTATAAAATGCCCTAATCCCCTAGAAGTTTGTCACAACATTTATGGAACACCCTGTATGTGTATATATATACATAAATATACAATGGATCTCCGGTTTTACATTTGTTGGTTTCATATGTACGTTATTTTACATAGTATTTAATATGCATAATAACTTAGGCATAAAAAAATACATGAATTTTTTTATCAGTAATTTGGTAAAGTATAATACTGAGCACAGGGATTTGTTTTGATTAGAGATGAGTAAAACAGTCCATAAGACTCCAAAAATTATTAGTAGAAACTGTCATAAGAGGCATCTATTTATAGCACCCAAAATAATAAAAGTCCAAAATTACTAAGCATATTCCAAAATATCAGAAATGTGTTTTAAATTGCTGCAAACTAAACATTTCTAAATAATTGTGCTAAATCTTTTTTTAGCTGGTATTTTTTATAAATTTGTGAGTTTTGCTCAAAATAATATTAAAATAAATATTTCGCTGTAAAAGTTTGAAATAAAAAAATGCAAAAGTTCGGATATTGATTATTCTAAGTAGCTTAAAGTTATTGTTCTTTATACATCTAAAGTTTAAAGCTGTTTCTTCAAGCAAACAAATTTCGAAAGTGCAAAACTGTGCTGTTCTATATTGTTCCTAACATTCAATCATACACTGTAATTAATTAACAACATTATGGTTCTTTTATATTATCTCAAGTTTTGAAAAATTATTTTATTTTAACTGGTCTTTTTTAGTGGCGTAAAAACTCTGATTACATTAAAAATAGTCTCACCGAAATGCATCTTCATTTGAATCACTTTTTTGTATAATCATAGTAAAAAAAGTACAATTTACTTAGTTAAACAAGTATATATGTATATGTCTTGTGATGAATTTTTATATCAACTTAGTCTATGTGTGCATTTTGTTTTAAGCTCTTTATTTTTTCATTTTATATTTTTCTTATAAATATAGATGTATTTATATTAACTTGTTTTGGAGCTTAGTTTGTTTTCTGTGACATATGTTATATTTGTAAGATATGTTTATTTAATTTATTATGTATGAAATTTAAAATTTTTTTTATAAGTGTTATTTTTTATATGAATTTTATGCATTTTTGTTTTTTCTTTTTTAAAATAAAAAAAATCGACTGATTTATTAAGAAAATAGTAATGTAAATTTTATATTATTTGTTAATAAGATTATTTACTAATAAAATAATTTATTAAATAATAAGAAATGAGCTAAATGTATTGGATGCTAGATAAAAATGCCGCAAGTGTCAAACATTGATGACCTAAAAGCCAGAATTACAACCGCAATAGCTTCTGTGAATGCCGATATGCTTGCCGCTACCTGGCGAGAAATTGACTATTGACTTGATATTCTCCGTGCGATGAAGGCGGCAGACATGGAAGTTCATTGACAAGGGTCATGAAACTTTTTGAGCATATCTTACCATTTATGTTATTAATTTTAATCTATCTTTATTTTTTTATGTTATTAAACATCAAAATGGGTCCAGGACTTTATAAACACCCTGTATATCTAGAAATTTAATGAGGAATTTTTAAAATCAAAACTATTTTTAAGTTTTGGTTCAGTACAGTGCCTCTGTCACACAAATCCACCTAACCATAAATAGCATCGTTAAAAATTTTCATTGGAAATTTAAAGTTGATTTTATCAAAGGTAATTTACTTTTTTAATGGTGTATTTATGATTCATAAACTCTGTACTGGCAAATATTAATTTTGTAAATTAACATAGATAAAAAAAAATGCACTAAGGAGCAGAAAAGCTTAATTCTTTTTCCTGAATTAGTAAAGAAAGTAAAATTTAAAATCTAAAATTTAATATTTTTCTTAATTATTTTGCTCCCCTTATCAAACAAGGAGAAAGTCTATTTGTCTATAATTTCGTATACCGGTAATCTATTTAGTATAGTTATTTTCATCTAATTTTGTATGCTTTTATTTTTAAAAAAATGCCATCCCTAGGAAAATCTTGAAGTATGGTCTATCTTTAAAACTCTTATATCTAATATAAATCTCACACGGAAACCTTGTGTACTTTTTCTTTGTTAGCTATACATATTCTATAATCTAAAATATATAAACTTTCCTCTTATCTCCAGATTGTTGAATCTGGAGATAATGCTTTTAGATTCAACAAATGCTTAGCCTGGCATTCAAATGCCTGGTTTTTAGATGAAGCATTTTCCTCGTGGTTGGAAGCTATGCCTGATAAATTTTCAGCATATTGCAAACTTTGCAAATCATCATTTAATCTTAGCAACATGGGGAAGCAAGCTGTGCTTAGTCACACAAAAGGAAAGAAGCATAAAGAGGCTGTTAAAGCTTCATCCTCTCTCAAAGTAAAAGATTTTTTCATTATGAATCAGAAAAATTCTGAAAATGATGTATCATGTGTTACAATTCAAGAAACAAACGCTTTTGAAGCAAGTGGCCAATTGGAATTAAGCAATTAAGTGCAAAAAAATGTGAAACTCAAAGTGTTGCAAAATTTTTAATTCCTGACTCAGTAACTTAAGCCGAAATATTTTGGTGCCTCGTAACTGTAAAGGAACACTTATCCTTTAGAAGTGCATCAAGACAGCTGAAATTCTGTAAAGTGCTATTTTCAGATAGCAAACTTGTTGAATAAATGCAATTAGGAAAAACCAAAATTGCATACACTATAACGCATGGTCTAGGACCCTATCTTAAAAATGAACTTGTAAAAACCTTAAATACTTGCAGTCATCTTGTCATTTCATTTGATGAGAGCTTGAATAAAATTTCGCAATCTAATCAGATGGACTTATCAGTCAAGTATTGCAGGGTTCCCATGGTCATTAAAAGTTCTTAAAAACTGCTTAATTTTTATTTTGGAAGATAAGGGCCCTTAATAGTACTTAATTTTGGTATAAGGTTTTTTAAAGTCCTTAATTTTTCAGTATAGCTATACCCTGTAACAAAATTGCGGTGACAAGGCAACATTGGCCCAGAGCTTAACAAACTCAATTTACACCAAGAGTATCATAAAACTGTGGGTGTTTGATTGTATTTTTGGCAGTTATTGATATTGATTTTATTCCAGTTTTAAAATGTTCCGATACATTTTAGACAATAGAGGAAATTCGAATCAGGTATTTAAGTATTAACTTTTTGACGTTATGATTCAATTATTTTTCTATCTTTTTTGGCAGTGATTGCTATCGATTTCCACAAAGTTTGAAATCCGATATTTTAAATACGATCTTATTTATTATAACAACCACAACACTTATTTGAGCTTCTCTTTTTTAAAGAGTCCTATTTGCATGATTTCGTCGTTGATCTTTCTTTTGGGTTTTACTACCACAGGTTTTAAAATTTTTAATTTATGTACGAATTTTAATTAATAATCGTTTAATTTATTTACGAATTTTAATTTATGTAATGGATTTGCAGAATTCGAAAGAGGAAATAATTAGTGTGTGTTATAATAATTAGTTCTACAAAAATGGAGGATATCGCCTATAATATTAGAATTAAAAAACTATATCACTATATAGTCACTATAGTTGATAGAAACAATTTTTCAGTTCGATTTTTTATAACAAAAAGTTGTTCTTTTATTACCTAGAATTAGTCCGTCCATCAAGAGTTGAGCATTTTAGAGAGACAAAGATATATGTGAGGGGGCTACTGGCAAAGGCCATAGAAATGTGTTGATACCTTTAAAAAATCATTTTAGTCCCTTTTATTTATGTTTCACTAAGAACTAATAAACATATTGGTTTGAAAATTATAAATCTTCTTATTCTATAAAAATTTTCATACAAATAATTAGTGCAATGACTTAAAAAATTTTCTTTTATTTAAGCTTAATGAAAAAAAAGTGGAATGATTTAAGGTGCTTAGATATTAGTATGGTCTGTTTTACTTGAAATAGGACCTAATTTAAGTTAACATACCGTATATTCCGGCGTATAACGCGCACTTTTAATACAAAAAATAACATTGGAATTTACGGGTGCGCGGTATACGCCGAATATAAAAAATTATAGATTAAAAAAATTTAAATACTATAGAAAAATACTTTTATTTTAAGGAAAATAACATACCTTTAACTATAAACTTTATTGATTTTTGTTAATACATAAATAGTTCATTATATTCGTATTCCGTTATTTCTTCAGGCACGTCATCACATTCTGTTTCGTCATCTGTGTTACCCCTCATCCATAAATAAACAGCCATCTTCTGATTCGACCAGATTATTTGAAATACTGCATTTTTTGAATGATTTTCTAACCATCTCAGGCTTAATTTCATCCCATGCTTTTAATATCCATTCGCACACTGTTTCCAAACTTGCATGACGCATATGTCCTCCTTTCGTAAAGGTTTTCTCGCCCTCCAACATCCAAGTGTTCCACTGTTTTTTTTAATTGGCTTTAAATGGTTTGTTTAAGCATACGTCCAATGGCTGAACTAATAGTGTCATTCCGCCCGGAATAACTGCCATATCGGTATTACATTCTTTCAACAATTTTATTGTATTATCTGTAAGGTGGGACCTAAACATGTCCCACACTAAAAGGCTTTCTAGTTATCTATTGATACTAGACGAGATATTGCGCATGTACAATCCAAATTTTCATGCGCGTTATACGAAGAGTATATCTTAAAATTTAAAAAAAGTTATTAGAAATTATGGGTGCGCATTATACGCCGGGGCGCGTTATACACCGGAATATACGGTAGTTAGGAAAACTATTTTCATGCATAACTCTAATTCTTAGTATTAATTCATTTAATATATACCATTTAATATATTCATTTAATATATACCATTCAATATATTCATTTAATATAAATGAAATATTTTATTAATAGCATTTATTAAAAACATTTTATTAAAAACTTGTAATAATTTCTTCAATTTCTTCCCAAATTTCTTTATTTACTCTTTTTCTTAAAAATACGCAAAAAATTGTAAATCCTAATTTTACAATTCAATTTCAATTAAATCATTAAAAATGGAATATATATTCGTTTTATAGATGTCGTTAACCCTTAACAGTCTGCAAAATATTTAAAAAAAACTCTACCCTGGTTTGCCAAAAATTGCCTGGTTCAACTTTGATGAGCCTTGTTAATTAATACAATTATATCAGTAGGGGAGAGTGGGGTCAATTGTAACATTTTTTAACTAACAAAAAATCCAATATATTATTAGTATTAATCGACAGACGAGTAAAGTAGACTTTCCTCTACTAGAAAAAAAAACTTATTTTAAATGTTATTATATTAGTTATAAACAATTTTTGACAGTCGTGCACTTGTTACAATTGTCCCCACTTACGGGGTCAATTGTAACAGTTCATAAATTCAACTAAAACATAGTTAATTATACATATTATCATAGTTGTGATATATTTTTTTATTGATCAAAATAGTAGTGATATTTTAGGAGTAAAAATAATAA